ACAGAAGCTGGATTGCTCTTGAATCAAAGCTGCTGCTATCTCGTCTATCATCAGGTGTTAATTTATCATATCCAAAACAAATCGTGATAACTACAGGTGACATATTGTATCATAACTGTTATATAACTACATTAATTTCCCTCAAAATTAAAGACAACGCCAATCTGCAACATAAAGGTAACGTAAGAATGACTTTTATTGTACATGTATTATTTAACAAGTACTGTTGTATATGTGGGAAATTTAAACTATAGTCGAAATAAAATGATATGAATAGATACAAATAAATAGTTTTTAAAATATACAAGTAAAGTGCAATGAATGAAGGGATTTTTTTTAAAACAAATTGTTTCCTTTTTATATTAATGTATTTAACAATCATTTCTTATTGTACATTTTGTTAATTCTTTAGCGCTGCTTTGTCCACAGTTTATTTTCTCTTACAGTTTAATGTAGCTTAATTGTCTTTATAAGATGAACATAAAAAAACACAACTTGAAAATAAACTCGAAATACAGCACATGTTTGATTTGTGTATGGCAATTAAATATGAACATTTTTGCTCTTATTGAGGTTCTATAAATAGAATTTCAAAGCAGATTGTGGTGCATGCCCTTTTGCTGATTTTTTTAAAAAAGAAAGTTGCAGGGAATGCCCGAGTACACAATTCCGCAAATTTAACGATATCCAGTAATGGATATACGATTGGCAATTTCTAGGATAATACAGAATTAGAGTTTTTTGTTTGTTTTTCAAACTTGCAATTTCTATTTAACATAAAATTTTGCTTGATTGTAAGTAACACGTCAAGGGTTCTTCTCAAAAATCAAGTTAATTTGATTCCTTGATTATTTTCTCGTTTGACATACATGCTTAAATCTGAAAACGACTCGTAAATAGGCATACGCCATTTTCGATATCACATCTACGATATCAACACAAGGATATGACTGCTTTATTGTCACGGGTATCGGCGACCCATGTTCGTGCTTGTTCATTTTAAATTACGTTGTATACATTTTATTGCATCTCTAATTATTTATCTCTAATTTTTTGGAGGTCCGTGTTCTGCTCCTATTTTGAATTAATTCTTCTAGACTTTTTGAGCTTGAATACTGTTCGTTAGCTCCATATATTTCAATTGTATTTGTTTGTATACTGCACTGACCTGTACAACTATTAGAAGTTTCTTTGATACCTTACTTGCATTAAAAGTATTACAGTTATTTTGTCGCTACCGAGTGCTGTATAACATACGTCCGTCTACATAGGTGTTGACTGATTACACTGAAGAGTGACTTAGTCAGGTGCTTTATATTAAGGTTATCAGATATAGCGAAAGTCCGATCAAAAATGGCGAGTACATTCCTTTTACGAATCATGTTCAGCTATAAATACGAATTAAAATGGACAATTATAATAAATTGTTTTAATATCTTTTAAAGACACATTCTGACTTCTGTTTTAATTTAGTTAGTTCTCCATTAACGGAAGTGACAAAATTAATAGATCTATATGCTTTTATTAATATTCTTTGAGAATTCTTATGTTTTGTTCATTCAAAATGCAGTCTGAGAATTTAATTGTTGTGCTACAGTGTTCACAAATAATCTGTCGAATTTCTTCGAAATAATTGTATTAATTAACGAGGCCCGATCTAGTTGATCTGCGCATACGTTTTAACGCAGCGTCGCCTCAGGCACGTCACAATACCCTTGCCTGCCGTCACAATTGAACATAATAACGTCACAATTAAAATGACGTCAAATTGCGCTAAACTGTTTCGCTGATCTTGCTTACCTGGTTGCTCCATAGACTATGCATTGAAAGCTGGCATTTCCATTATTTTTTTTAAATATTTAAATTAATAAACAACTTTGGAACCTTATTAATTTTGAGGGATCAATTTTTTGGTACAGATTCATTAATTTTATCCTGTTTTATTTCAATTTGTGAGTTTAAAAAAACAAACGCTGCTACTAAAAGTAAACGATTTTAGTCTCTCTCTTTGAACATGTTGAAGTGTTTATACACACTCATTTTATTGCGGACTTGAATATGCATGGTGATTATCTTCAGTTTTTTTTTTTTTTTAAAAAGTCTATAAATCATTTAAATTGAACCCCCGAAATATTTAATTTTTCTATATATTACATAGTATTAATAAAAATCGCAATTTTGTCGCCTTTACCCCCCCCCCCCCTCTACCCCTATTTTCCACGTAAAACAACGTTGCGTGTTAAGAGAAAAATAAAGGATGGCGAGAAAATAATTTCATAATGTAAGAATTATTTATTTTTTAGAAACTAATACAGTATTGTATTCGTTTGTTGGTGTTATGTTAACCTATTGCGACCTATAAAATACGTAGTTGGATAGAATAGATCTAAATTTTGTGTTTTGACATGCCCCCTTTTCACTGCAATAAAGGCTACCGCCAATTTTCTTTTCATTTTTTATAAGAGGAATGAAAATTGCATGATATATGTGAAAAACAAAGAATTTCATCATGAATTTTTTTTTAATTTGTAAATTTCTTTGTTTATTGAGGAGCTTTAGTATGTAATTGTGTATAAAAACAAGAAAAATGGTCCATATCTTGACAGTGCCCCCATTTCACTACAATAAAGGCAAGGTAACAAAATTTCATTCTATTTTTTCTAAGCATAAAACATACAAGTGTATTTCCAAGAATTAAAATTTTTTATCATTCCGTTTTCGTAATTTTCAACTAGATCGGGCCTCGTTAAGATTGGATTTTTTAAAAAAAACTTTAGATTTCAATTTTCAATTAAATACTTATTTTGTAGGATGAGGACTATTATACTCCTTTGTATTGTGCTTTTTACGTCTCTTCTGGTCGTGGAGGAAGTGGAATCAAGCTGGTGGCGACGAAACTGTAGATGTGGCTGCGCTTCGAAAGGATGTGGATGCACGTGCAGATTGCGGAGAAGAAAGAGGAGTGTGGTAATTTCCGCTCAATTGTTGAGGACTAATTATATATTTTAAGAATTAATGTACACTGAGAGCTTTTTTGTTAATTCATATACTGTAATACTGAAAAGCATGGATAGGGGCAGTAAAATAATCTAACTTTTTGCTCTCAGTTTTGCCAAAAACTTGTACTGTTACAGTAATACATAAACTTAATTGTATATATTTAAATGGCGACAAATTTTATCTTACATTACAAGATTGGTCTTCGATTATGATTGCTTTATTTCATCAATGATGCCATGACCCTTTTTAGTAACGTATTTTTCTGTCATTAATGAATGAAATAATAGAATTAATGCTATAATTTTTAAATGCTCAAAAATTACGATATAAAGAATCAGGTACAAACCTATCTTTTATAGGACGAATCTGCAAGACTCCATCGCCAGATGAACTTCCCAGGGTAATTAAATTACACATTGTTATTTCTTGGATTGAACTGAACTGAATTCATTAATCTCTTCACAATTTTTCAGTATAAATGCACACAACGATAACAAATAAAAACATAATTATTACATGCCTGAGTATATGAAGACAGACAAATAGAACAATTATATATAGGTACAGTGTATAAAGATCTTTACTAATTCGGGAAGCGCGTTTCAGTAAAAAGTTTTTTTTAATAAATATATACACAGTTGTCTTAAGAATGATTGTTTATCTAAATTCATTATTTCTCTAGTTTCAATTGTTAGATAATGATTAATAGTACGAAATTTGCAGAATTTAATTAATGGCTTCTTTTCGTGATAGAATTTCTTTTTCTTCTTATTTTTTTTTTTTTCAAATTTTAGCTCGTCTTTGTTTATTCTGTAATTTAGGGTCTTTGATAAATTTTGAACATCCAAATTCCATTTTTGCTTAAATTGATCAATTAAAGATGGTTTTACTTGGAGATAGATTTATCTGTGTTTATATTTCCTTCAATTTTATACTAGTAATCATTAATTTTTATTTTTATAATTACAGCTCGGACGGTTTAACCGCAGATGCTTCAAGGAATTGAAACAACGCAAGTTGGTCGCTGAAGCATAGTCAATGTATTTTGTTGTTGTTGTTGTTGTTTCTTTGAAAGTAAACGTGAATAAAATTAAAATTTAAGGTTTTCGTGGCTTATTGGTTTTTGCGTATATATAAAAGGTGCAGACATAATAAATGCATAGATATATTCTATATTATTAGAGAACCACCTTGAAAGATGCCTTAGAATGTATTAAAGGAGAATAGCGTACAACCTAAATGGCTGACAAATGTACTTTGAATTTGGTTTTTGGATTTCAACTACCACAACATCTGCCTTTCTGGTTTTGAGTCTCTAATGAATCGTACATTTCTGTCGGTTTAAAAGAAATCTTTAAAACATGCTAGTACTTGCAAGTACTATGGCTCCCTGTAATGTATGCTTGTTATTCGAAAGGTTAAATATACTTGTATTTTCTGTTTGAATGAAAAGATATCACCAAATGTTACTACCAAATTGGAATAAATGATTAAATTATATTGGATATTCGCTAATTCGAAATTTTCTCCTTCGTTAGTGAGAGAGAAAGCACGTTTTACTGATTTTTGTGTTCAAATTAGAAGCTTTCCTAAATATGACTGTTGTATGTCTAAAAAAAAATCAAAATTAGTTTAGTAACGACTTAATATACTGAACTATTATGCAATATACACTTAATGTGTTCGTCATGGGAATATGACGTTACCTTTCCCCGCAAACAGTTTTATAGCACAGTACAAGTTTCTCTAAAGATTACTGTAAATAAATTGAATATTCTGACAAAAAATTAGTCTAAGTGGGGGTATTTTTTGTATTTTTTATTTCCTGTCCACAAGTACCTGTGTAGAGTTCCTTAAAAAAGAATTCAACTACTGAACTAGTGATAACTTTTTTAAAGTCATCCACGGGCTTTGATGGAAAACGAATATGTTACGGTACAAGTTAGTCCGATAACTTCATCCGAACTGAAAGTGAAACAAGCACATGAGGGAAAAAATTTAAAAAAAGCAAAAGTTTGAAAAGAAAATTAATGATAAAATGGAGAAAGAAGTGGCCTCTCCTCCAAGTGAAATGAGAAGGAATGATTCTCCAACAAGTAGACATTGTTCTCATTCAAGTTTGCATGGACATGATGGAAGCTCCGACGAAAATGCCTTTCCATGTAACACGAGTTCTTGGTCTCTTGGTTTGGTAGATAAACTTGGCATTAGAAAAGTGTTGACAAACCCATTTGAACAAGTTCGAACAGAATGGTCTTTCAGCAATTTGACAGACGCTGAAATAACTAGAATTGATGAACTTGTTAAGATATGCAGTTTGCCATGTGTTGATTTCAATTCTTTGGAGGAGATACCGTATGATAAGTCAAAATCTTACAAGCAGTGGGTCCAGGAATGGTTTCCAGAGTTCACAATCAAAGAGCTTAAGTTGTAAGTTTTTATAATATTTAAATTGGTGGCTGGGTTTTCAAAGCACTTTTAAGAATAGCAGGGTAATTCATCAACTAAATAAGACAGACCTGCATGTACGCTTGTTCACATATTATTCAAAAGGACCTACTTGCATGTGTTATTTTTTGGGCTGTGGATATTGACCTGGATAGCTCAGTTGGTAGAGTAATCTGACTGGGGAGGTAGGGGTCCAGGGTTTGATTTCCATTTTTCAATGTAAGAGTACATACATTCTGTACCCACAATTCGGTGCTTTATAGTAGCACAGTAACAAAATAGCTTAATTAGTATTGAAATCATTGACTTCACATTAGCCAACACAGTAGCAAAAAAGAATATTACACTGACCGTAATTCCTGTGAGTATTACTGTTAGTATTGTATGCAAGAAGAGTGCAATTGTAATGGTGCATTGCAGGGTGTGTAAATACAGATACCCTTGATATCAGGTTATTTATTTATAGATAATAATTTTAAAAAATAAGAATCGAAAATCATTCATACAGGGATTTTCCACACCATTTTGGGAATGGGGCCCAGGCCCTTGCAATTGGGAATTTTAACAACATTTTATCACTTTTGGGGAATTTTTATTGCATGATATTTTTCAAGAAATTAACACTTATACTGAATAAAATTGATTTTTACTTCATCATTCAGAACTATTATTTAGAGAATAGATTAACTATTATGAAGTTTTACTCAAGTTCCCTAAAATTTGGTTCATATCAATCACGTTTCAAACCAGACCATGTTTGTTTTACATGAATTTTGATCAAGTTTACTTTGTGGAGTTTTTGTGCATTCAGAAATTGAACACATGCTCTTCATATTTGGGAAAAATGGAAGAAATTTGCAATTGGGAATGGGGCCCATATTCGGCCCTACACAGGGTAGTGGAAAATCCCTGTCATAATCAGTAAATTGCAATAGAAGTTTACACTTTGTATTGTTTTCATTGTTTAGGTTCAGTAGGAACTGTGAGGAGTTTGGATATTTCCTGTTTGATGCCATGCAGCAAATACATCAACATGATCAAAGACAGAGCCAGTTGCCATATGAAATTGATTATCAAGTTCTCTTTGAAAAAATTCTCAATTTGTTTGAATTGAAAGTCAAGTAAGTATACAAGAAGCCTATATACATTTCTAGAAACACTGTTCATTACTGCAGTAATCTGTTCTAACTTAGCAATGGCAGAAAAAGTCACAAGGGGCGTAGCCAGGGTACTTAAATTATCCCATGTTTCCCACTACATGTATCACCGATATCCCTGGCATTCTATACTAAGTAGACAGTGATTTCTTATATTTCCATTTCATTGTGAAATAAAATTGTAGATTTAGACTTTAAAAATGTAGACATAGATTTAATTTACCATATTTACAGGAGGATTCCAATGCAATTTCAATAGTCCTCACCCACTGACATCAAACACAAATTAAAGGCAGCCATATGAGATTTACATGCCTATTTTGCCTCCTTAGCGTCACACTGACATACAGAGACAGATGCACACAAGATTTGCATGCAAACTAGGCCTCCTTAGCTCTTGACCTATCGACCTGCCTAATTTACATTCCGGTAGAATTATCAAGAAATCAACTCCGCTAACTTTCAAAGAGTTGTCACAGAGAAAAAATTAATTAGAAATGAAAATACTTGTGCTTTTTTTAGCTCTACTGGTCAGAGACCAGAAGAGCTTATGCGATAGTAATGCGTCCGTCGTCCGTCCGTCCGTCTGTCTGTCTGTCTGTCTGTCTGTCTGTAAACAATTTTTCAAAATGCTACTCCTCCTACAGTTTTGGTCCAATTTCAATATAGCTTGGCACACAAGTAGACTACACTAAGAAACATAATTCTGTGCATGGGATTTTGATTTCGATGAACGGTGTTGCCATGGTTACTAAAAATAGAAATTTCTGTGAAATGCTTTCAAAATGCTACTCCTCCTACAGTTTTGGTCCGATTTCAATATAACTTGGCACACAAGTAGACTACACTATGATATATAATTCTGTGCATCGGTTTCTGATTTTGATGAACGGTGTTGCCATGGTTACTAAAAATAGAAATTTCTGTAAAATGCTTTCAAAATGCTACACCACCTACAGTTTTGGTCCGATTTCAGTATAACTTTACACACATGTAGACTACACTATGATACATAATTTTGTGCATTGCTTTCTGATTTTGATGAACGGTGTTGCCGTGGTTACTAAAAATAGAAATTTCTGTGAAATGCTTTCAAAATGCTACTCCTTCTACAGTTTTGGTCTGATTTCAATATAACTTGGCACACAAATAGACTACACTAGGATACATAATTCTGTGCATCGGTTTTTGATTTTGATGAACGGTGTTGCCATGGTTACTAAAAATAGAAATTTCTTTGAAATGCTTTCAAAATGCTACTCCTCCTACAGTTTTGATCCGATTTCAATATAACTTGGCACACAAGTAGACTGCAATAAGATACATAATTCTGTGCATTGGTTTCTGATTTTGATGAACGGTGTTGCCGTGGTTACTAAAAATAGAAATTTCTGTGAAATGCTTTCAAAATGCTACTCCTTCTACAGTTTTGGTCCGATTTCAATATAACTTGGCACACAAGTAGACTACACAAGGATACATAATTCTGTGCATTGGTTTTTAATTTCGATGAATGGTGTTGCCATGGTTACTTAAAATAGAAATTTCTGTGAAATTCATTCAAAATGCTACTCCTTCTACAGTTTTGGTCTGATTTCAATATAACTTGGCACACAAGTAGACTACACTAGGATACATAATTCTGTGCATCGGTTTTTGATTTTGATGAACGGTGTTGCCATGGTTACTAAAAATAGAAATTTCTTTGAAATGCTTTCAAAATGCTACTTCTCCTACAGTTTTGGTCTGATTTCAATATAATTTGGCACACAAGTAGACTACACTAAGATACATAATTCTGTGCATCGGTTTTTGATTTTGATGAACGGTGTTGCCATGGTTACTAAAAATAGAAATTTCTTTGAAATGCTTTCAAAATGCTACTCCTCCTACAGTTTTGATCCGATTTCAATATAACTTTACACACAAGTAGACTACACTAAGGTACATAATTCTGTGCATCAGTTTTAATTTTGATGACTGACAAGGATCAATTTTCTATTTATTGCTGTTTTAAAGTTTCAAATCCCAACTGCTACTTTTTTCTTCCTTTGTTTTAAGTATAAACCAGTAGAGCTACAGTCTCGACAGAGACTTCTGGTTTAAATATTGTATGGAAACAAATATTTGTTTTGTAGGGGATATTCATATATACCAAAGGGACATGCCACAATATTTGGACAAGAAATAATATCTTCAAGAGCTGATATTCTTTGCACTAAATGTGATGATCCAAGTAAAATACTAAGTGTCTGCAAGGTAAGATTGAAAACAAAATCATAGATATGTATTCATTATCATGATTATGATGGATTATGATCGAGCAGGAGATTAATCTCTTTTTAAACTAAAGGCTAATGGATTATGTTGGGTACACACTGTTCACAGGCTGTGACACTAATAATAAAGTAATATTTTCTGCTCAATTTATCCATTACCTGTTGTCATCATCATTATTGTCATCTTCATACACTTTTCAAATTTTCATGTTTTTCTCCTCCGGATCCACTTTGCCAATTTTAGGGTTGTATAATATACTCAGGTGAACATTGAGGTCCTTGCATGGGCCTCTTGTTTGTTAATTTACTGGAGACTGCATACTTAACTTTTCACCATGATCTAATTAATTTCATTGTTCTGATTAGTCAACTAATAGTAGTTTGATGAAATTAGTGTAACATAAGTATGTTTTCGGAAAATAAATGAAAATCTTATTTTTAGAATAAAAAAAAAAAATAAACTATAAAAAATATTGTGTGTTAAGACTTTATTTAGGCATGATAGAATTTTTTTTATATTTATATAAGATTATAGATGAGGAAGATAATCCTTGTAATCCTGAAGAAGGCACAGATTTTTCACCAGCAAGGAAAAAATTACGCACCACATCATCAACATTAGAAACTGCTAATGAGGAGGCATGTTCTAGTACAAGCTCAACCTGTGGTCTGTCATCGAATGTATATGCCCGCTATGTTGGAGACCTGCTAGCCTATTTTGAAAGTTCTGTTTTAAAAAGAGGCATTCTTGGAATGGTCGTACAAAAGACAAATGTAAGTGAAAAGTGTTTGTATTGTATTGCATGTTGTTTTACATCCCATTCAAGAATTCTTCACTCATATAGAGATGTCACCAAATACCAGTGAAAGGCTTCAATTTTTGACCTTTACTCAGCACTAAGAGCCACTGAGCAGTGAGAAATCTTTATTGTGCAAACGCCTGCCATTACATGGGTCCTGGGTTTTTAAGGTTTCATCAGAAGGACCTACAACTTTCACTTCAAAGTGCTGAGCGCATGGCAAAAAACAGTTGCTACCCATTTTTAGCTCTGCTGGTCAGAAACCAGAAGAGCTTATGCAATAGAAATGCGTTTGGCGTCTGTCCGTCTGTCTATCCATGTGTATATAATTGTATATAACTTTGAACACAAGTAGACTACACTAAGATATATAATTCTGTGTATCAGTTTTAGTTTCGATGGACGGTGTAGCTGTGGTTACAAAAAAAGAAAAATCTGTGAAATACTTTAAAAATGCTACTCCTCTTACAGTTTTGGTTTGATTTCAATATAACTCAGTACACAAAAAGACTAAACTAAGATACATAATTCTATATATCTGTTTTTGATCTCGATGATCGGTGTTGCCATGGTTACTAAAAATAGAAGCTTCCGTGAAATACTTTTAAAATGCTACTCCTCCTACAGTTTTGGTCTGATTTCAATATAACTTGGCACAGAAGTAGACTACACTAAGGTACATAATTCTGTATATCAGTTTTTGATTTCTTTCAACATTGTTACCATGGTTACCAAAAATAGAAATTTCTGTAAAATACTCTCAAAATTGTACTCCAAGAACAGTTTTAGTCTGATTATTATATAATGTGGCATGCAAGGAGACTACACTGAGATATATGATTGTTTTTTTTGTTTTATGTTTTTTTATTTTGATGAATTACATTGCCATTGTCATGATGGTAACTAAAATTAAAATACTGTAAAAGTTTATAAAAGCTATTTCTACAGTTGTAGTCTTATTGCAATATCTTGCCACAAGAAGAGACTCAATTCAGGATCATTATTCTATTTATTGCCCTTGTAAAGTTTTTCCCAACTTGTACACTTCTCTTCCTTTGTTATAAGTAAAAAACCAGTAGAGCTTCAGTCTGGTTATCGACTTAGGTCAATGGCAGCCAAGATTTGAACTCACAACCTCCAGATCATAGAGCAAGCGCTCTACTGACTGAGCTACTGCAAGCAGTAAATGTTTGTATAAACGTTTAATCTGAGTCAGTATTACAGTGCCCAAAAAACTACATGGTGACAATTGTTTACTAAATAAAGTCACCCCACCCTTATATCAGCATCAAAGTCATGCCATCCCAAATACCAATGAGTGCAAATGATCTACTGCAACTGCATCAGAGTTTGCACACTACAGATGGGAAAAAATTTTTTTCGTGCGATTCAACTACAATTTTTTCCCATGTATACATGTATTCATGCAAGTGTTCCTGAAATGTTCGTGGACTGAACTTATCATTGGACAATATCTCGGTCATGAATATTTACATTGATGAATATTCATGATTTGTGCTTTTTCATGAGAAAAAAAAATTCTGATGATAATAATTGAAGCTAAAATAAGGGCTCAACTTGGATCAATTTTTCTGTCTGTCCAGCTGATATCCCTTGACCAAACCATATTTTCTACCCGCTAAGCACATTTTGAATCATATTTTACTCAATAGGTGCCTTTGGTAAACAATTTGCTGTGACCTTCAACCAAGATTTAAGGTTTTTGATCAAGAGTATTGGGTTTACAGTGACCTTGAACCAAGTTTCTAGGTGAAAGATCAAGGTCATGATACATCTGAAAAATCTGGTCCTTGTTCTGACAATATTTGGAAGGGAGTCATTTAGTATACACATTTTCACAGGAAATTCATTGCTTCTCAGTTTGAAGAAAAGAAGAAGAATGCAGTTTAATATAATTTGAATTTAGTAAGAAATGAAGCATGCTTTTGGGTTAAGGGTTAAAAGTCAAATTTATTTTGCAGGTTTTATTTACTTTCCTGAAAATCAAACCAGAGAGCTTTGAAAAAATTAGAAGAGGAAACCAATCTGGATCTATGAAATTTGATTCAACAAAGGATGAAGAACCAATATTATTTTACACAAAGCAGTTCAATTTCTTAAACTGTGAAGATCGTAAAATAATTTTCAAAGCATTGCTTAGCATGAAAATGATTGAAGTTAAATATTAGGACTACTGAATATTTTATGCATTACAAATGCTGAAACCATTTTGTTTGAGCTGCTTGTATTTTTGGGTTTCCAGAGTCACCCAATCAAAGTATTGAAATTTCTGTGAGTCATTAATGAATTTCTTCAGCTTTTAAGTAGTTAATATTGACTGATGTTGTTGTGTAACATCTATGATGAAAGAGCACATTTTGTAAAAATTATCCTCACTTTAGGGGCATTAGATATTTAAAAAAAAAAAAATTGAACATTTTTATTGTCTTCTTTCTCTACCGAACATACTTAATGGTATAATCATTCATTATCTTTAAACAGTTTTCGTATGGTTACTCTTTAATTTATACTCTATCACTGTTTACATTTATCACTTGATACGTACAGAGTGTTTTAAAAGAAGATGGGCGCATTTGTCGTGTGATCTGCAGGAATCATTTGTACGAAACATTTATTGTTTAAATGTCCATGATTTGGTTGACTGAACATCGCTGGTCAGATTTTACAAATTTTTTTTTCATTTAGTTTGAAAGTGTGAGATTGTAACATTTTTGTCCGTTTTTCCTAGGGGTTAGTACAACATAGTAATGTTTCACAAAAAATAAACACCTGAAATATTTAATGCATATAGATTAGGGCTGGGCAATAATATCGATATTTCAATATATTGCAATACAATGACAAAAAATATCGTATCGCAATACGATTTTGTAGTATCGATGTATTGGCAATATTTTAAGATTAAGGAATTTCGTCATTAAATATAAAAATGGACTTATGAAAGTTTGTAATTTAGCCAAACAGTAAGTCAGAAGTTGTTTTGTAGGAACATTTCAGAGCATAACTTAAACTAGTGCTAATTGTAACGGGGACCGTTACAGATGTTCCCCAAACGCTCCCCAACTCCCTTTTGGTGCCATATTCCCTGTTATCTCTATTAAATAAGAAATACTCTATGGAATTTAGACTTAATCAAGGTCTTCCAAGAAAAATACAAAATATATTAAAAAAATAGGCATTGCACGCGTGTTCATGTGCGTAACGACCATATTATCTTGTCTACACTATCTTAAATTTTAATAATATCAAAGCATTTAATCCAAAAGTATTAAAAAATGCACTCATTCGAGTGTATTTTTTATTTTACTCATTTCACGTGCAAGCACGTGCATAATGACTACACTTTCTTATAGGAGTCCCTTATATTTATCCAAGTTCTAAATCTCATCCTGTTTGGTTGAAAAACAAGAGAGTTATAGCCATTTGAAGTTTCAGCCAATCAGATTGCAGCACACGTGCATGCGCGTGATTTCATGAATATTTTCTAAATCATATTTTAGGATATCGTAATGCATGACTATGTTTTAAATTTCAAAGCATTTCGTCAAAAAACAAAGGAGATATAGCCATTTAAAGTTTTAGCCAATCAGATTACAGCACGTGTGCATGCGCATGCTTTTATTAAAATTTTAATATATCACGCTGTAGATCTTCATAATGTAGGACCATGTTCAAAATTTCAAAAGATTATGACAAGAAACAAGAAAGATATTGAGACTTTAGTTTCAGCCAATCAGAGCAAAGCGCACGTGCATGCGCGTGAGATCTTGCTATTTTGACCATGCATCTTGTCTATACTACTAATGTATCCTTACATTATGAGTTTCAAAGCATTTTATCAAAAAATAGAAAAGTTCCGACTATATCTATTATATTGGTTATTTCAAGTGTTGCACGTGCGCGCTCTTGCAAGCACGTGCGCGCAAAATGACCTTGATTCCGCAAATCTGCATAACATGTCTACTCACCCTAAAAAGGTTTTACCTACCTCGGACGAACAGTTTACAAGATCATTCCCGGACAAAAAAGTACCCAGGAAGAAGAAGAAGAAAAATAATAATAACTAGAATCTTGTTGCCATGGCAACAAATAAGTCTTCCGTTCTTCTAAATCTGTAAGAATTAGCTTTTTTCTCTGCAAAAAACATAGATATCATATGTACTCGGAAAGAAAAAAAAAACTGCAAAAAGGTCTTTCAGTACTGAAGGTACTTTGATTTTCATGGTGCATTTTGGCACTCATAAGAGCTACACGTTTATCATAGACAAACCAACGGACGAACGAACACCGTACTCTCAAAAACTTCACTGTGTTTATGTTCTGGCACAATTGTGATGGTGTAAAAAAATGTCCTGAACTAAGTTAGTACCACATTAAACGTAAAGTCGTTGATTTTTACAGTAATACTATCGAGATTTGTCGGCAGAAAGATTATTCAACTACAGGAATTATTCAGCAATCGATTGATTGATTATATGTTATTTAATGTTCCTCTCGAGAATTTGTCACATGGATAAGCCTCAACTCGCCGGTGGAGACTGCAAAATGTTGTCCTATAATTTGGCTCTAATTGCCATTGAGCAGTGAGGAATCTTTTAGAGTCAGTACCATCTGACACACGGGACCTCGATTTAAACGATCTCATCTGACGGACCGGTCTCCACGTCTCACAACTGAAGTCCATAATACAGATATATGATGCTCTAGCCATGTTTTTATTTTATTTTTCATTTCTCAAATTTGTTGCATCAGATTTTCTTAAAGATCATACTTAATAAAAATCATTTCGAACAACTTTATTGCAATGCATACAGCGTCCGGTGATTTTGATTGACAGGTCAATACATGTGCACTTCGCGTGATTTTTCTTAAGCAGAAAAATATACAGAGACTGACTATGACGGACCATGAAATCAGAAAATATTTAATAAAGAATGGGTACAACTGATATAGAACTGATTTTTTGTCTATGTAAATAATAAAGATAAAAATAGGATAATCAGGATTAAAAGGGAATATCTCTCTCTCTCTCTCTCTCTCTCAGACATGTAAATTTCAGTATCTTGCGTAATGAAAAATCTACTATTATAGAATATTAATTCTGTATACATGTTAATGGTAATTATAACCAAATGTTCCAGATTTAATTGTAAAACGAATTTATAATTCAAAGGCCTATAGTTGCAATAATGTCTCCGAATAAAATCAAGAAGGGGGGGGGGGGGCTTCAAAAGAATTACATACTCGGTAATTTTATGTTTTATGAATTTTAAAAGGAAAATACTAAATGTTGCATGTACATACATATAATTATATAGCATTGCATAAAATTGTGTTTATTCGTATACTTTATCTAACATATCAACAGACCTTTGCAGATGTTTTTGTATCATGTTTTTAGCGTAGCATTATTTCACACAGAAACGCGTAACTTTCACATAAGGTTAACCCCTAAGTACTAGTATTTCACAAATAAAATCCAAGAATCGCTTTTCCTTATCTTTAATAACTTCTCGGGTATATAAAAGTATAGATCATGTATAAAAAAAATAACACTATAAGACTTTTAATCAATGAAATATACGTGTTAAAACCAAATCCAATCTATAGATTGATTTTCTTTCTTTTAAGTTGCAGATATCAATTTATTTCTAAAGGCTTTACACCTACTTTTCTATCTCTCAGTTCCCTTTTGAGTACATATAATATTTTAGAATCGAAAATAAAACTCGGATTCCGGGATAATTTCGCATTCAAATTAGAGAATGAATTAAGAATATTTTTTTAAATATAATCATAACAGACATTACAGATTTACACTACGCTGACAACTTTAAACTATGCATATATTGAAAGCAGTAACCAACGTAATCTTTCATGCAGAAGTGGATATGGAAACTCAAAGTCTAATTATTTTTTTTATGTGAAAAGTGTGGATATAGACGTCTGCGACGTCATGGATACTACCTCCGCCTTTATCTCGAAAGTTCTATTCCCACTTACAAGTCAGAGTTATCTATCTTTGCTCATTGTCATAGAGAAAATGAATTTATTGACGGAACCTTAAATCTCCAAAATGCAGAATCAGATTGAATAAATAATATGTTTAGTATTTTTGTAGAATAATATGTATATACATCGCTGTAATGTATACTGCGTACAATATTATTTTCTTCATTGTGCTTAGTTGACACAGAACGGATATTTATTTCAGATATAGATTTGTAAATCAAAAACTTTCAATATATACAGACTAACACTACACAGTCAAATTTAAACTAATATGCATATAGTGAATTAAGTAACATGCAAAAGAGAGAATATTGAATGTGTAAATATGTTGATCTGGAGAGCGTATATATGTCTCTAACGTCATCAATACTATTTCCGCCTTTATCTCGAAAGTTCTATTCTCATTCACAGGTCAGAGTTATCTTTCTTTGCCCACCTTATACATACTACGTAAATAGAGAAAATTTCGGTACCGAAAATATACAAAATGCGGAATCTGATTTGAAAACAAATTAAATATTTAGTATTTGTAGAAAAATGTCTGTTTTACATAAGAATATCTTGAAAAAATATCTAAAAACAAAAAAATCAAAAATTGACCAAAAACAAATTCACTTCCGGTTCGGACAGGAAGTACTGGAAACACACGAAAACAACTTCAAAACAAATAGAATATCATGATCTAATACTCCTGTAAATTTCATATCTTTACCTCAAACCGTTTCCGAGAAAACTGCCGGACAAAAATCCATTTTAAAATTCGAAAATCGGCCATAACTTCGGACCGGAAGTGAATTTTTCAAAAAACAGAATTTTATATAAACTTCATATATCAACCTACTTATATGAGAAAAATTGTGAAAATCTATCCAGCCATCTCTGAGTAATCGCGCTCACAAAATTTGGGAGGAATAATAATAATAATAATAATAATAAAAAGAAACAATACAAACACTATAAGTCTTCCGTTGTGAACGGAAGACTTAATAATAATAAGAAACAGAGTAAAAACAATATGTTCCCCAACTTCGTTTGGGGAACATAATGAAATCAACAAGATTTTTTTTTCGTGTTGGTTTCTTATCGTAGTTATGTACATTCTGCATGTAAATTAAAGTAAATATAGTAAGAAAATGCCATTTTTATTACATTGAAAATATTGCAATACATATCGCAATACAGTTAAAAATATCGCAATATATCGCAATACGAAATCTCGGGCCAATACCCAGCCCTAATATAGTTGCATGATACGTGTACATGGCTGTACATTATATAGAATAGAAGATTAGAATATTGAATTTGCTCGCGAGCCAAACTGAACCAAAATTTATCTAATTCAAAATTCTAATAAATCAGTACATAAAACGAAACTGACGAAATAAATGCTTTTGTTGTTTGCATGAAAAAAAAATTAACGCCACATGCTAGGCTCGAACCAAAAACTTTTCGCTTTGAGTGCACTGAACAGGTAGCCCAACTTACTGAGCTATCACCGCTACACATCCACAGATGATTTTAAAAAGAGGAAGAAGCACCACATTCACACATTTGGATTTTGGGGGGAAAAGTTCGTTTTTTGTGGTCTCTGGGTCTTCTCTCCATATTGAAAAAAATGTATTC